GGCAGGGACAAGCTGGGCTGGTTTTGGGATGCGGTAGGGGGAGGGGAGATTTTGAAGCTTGTGAAGTCCATATTGATACATTGGGCTGCAGGGTTCCCAAGCGGAATATGAGTTGCTGTTCCTGCAACCTTCGGGTAGCATCATTATGGCACTGCAGGAGGCCCAGGATGGACATGTCATCTGCGGAATGGGAGGGGGAATTGAAATGGTTCACGACTGGGAGGTGCAGTTGTTTAGTGCAAACCGAGCGTAGGTGTTCTGGAAAGCGGTCCCCATGCCTCCGCTTGGTTTCCCTGATGTAGAGGAGGCCACAACGGGAACAGCGGATGCAGTATACCACATTAGCAGATGTGCAGGTGAACATCTGCTTGATGTGGAAAGTCTTCTTGGGGCCTGGGATGGGGGTGAGGGGGGAGGTGTAGCACTTCCTGCGGTTGCAGGGAAAAGTGCCGGGTGAGGTGGGGCTGGAGGGGAATGTGGAGCGGACAAGGGAGTCACGGAGAGAGTTGTTCCTCCGCAAGGCAGATAAGGGTGGGGAGGGAAAAATGTCTTTGGTGGTGGGGTTGGATTGCAGATGGCAGAAGTGTCGGAGGATGATGCGTTGGATCCGGAGGTTGGTGGGGTGGTACATGAGGACGAGGGGGATTCTGTTTTGGTTGTTATTGCAGGGAGGGGGTGTGAGGGATGAGTTGCGGAAAATGCGGGAGACACGGTCAAGGGCGTTCTCGACCACTGAGGGGGGGATGTTGCGGTCCTTGAAAAACGAGGACATCTGAGATGTACGGGAGAGGAATGCTTCATCCTGGGAGCAGATGCGGCGGAGGTGAAGGAATTGGGAATAGGGGATGGCATTTTTGCAGGAAGGTGGGTGAGAGGAGGGTATTCTAGGTATTCTAGGTAGCTCTCTTTCAATTCCTCCCATTTCTTACAGACAAAGGGGGTGGCCATGAGTACCCACATGGGCCCAAAATATGCCTGCCTCTTTGTAGGTTACGTGGAACAATCCCTCTTCCGTACCTACACTGGCCCTAAACCCCACCTCTTCCTCCGTTACATTGATGACTGTATCGGCGCTGCCTCGTGCTCCCATGAGGAGCTCGAACAGTTCATCCACTTCACCCACACCTTCCACCCCAACCTTAAGTTCACCTGGACCATCTCTAATACCTCTCTCTCCTTCCTGGACCTCTCTGTCTCCATCTCCGGCAACCACCTACAAACCGATATCCATTTCAAGCCCACTGACTCCCACAGCTACCTAGAATACACCTCCTCCCACCCACCTTCCTGCAAAAATGCCATCCCCTATTCCCAATTCCTTCGCCTCCGCCACATCTGCTCCCAGGATGAGGCATTCCACTCCCGTACATCTCAGATGTCCTCGTTTTTCAAGGACCGCAACTTCACACCCTCAGTGGTCGAGAACGCCCTCGACCGTGTCTCCCGCATTTTCCGCAACTCATCCCTCACACCCCCTCCCCGCAATAACAACCAAAACAGAATCCCCCTCGTCCTCACGTACCACCCCACCAACCTCTGGATCCAACGCATCATCCTCCGACACTTCCGCCATCTGCAATCCGACCCCACCACCAAAGACATTTTTCCCTCCCCACCCTTATCTGCCTTGCGGAGGAACAACTCTCTCCGTGACTCCCTTGTCCGCTCCACACTACCCTCCAGCCCCACCACACCCGGCACTTTTTCCTGCAACCGCAGGAAGTGCTACACCTCCCCCCTCACCCCCATCCCAGGCCCCAAGAAGACTTTCCACATCAAGCAGATGTTCACCTGCACATCTGCTAATGTGGTATACTGCATCCGCTGTTCCCGTTGTGGCCTCCTCTACATCGGGGAAACCAAGCGGAGGCTTGGGGACCGCTTTGCAGAACACCTACGCTCGGTTTGCACTAAACAACTGCACCTCCCAGTCGCGAACCATTTCAATTCCCCCTCCCATTCCGCAGATGACATGTCCATCCTGGGCCTCCTGCAGTGCCACAATGATGCTACCCGAAGGTTGCAGGAACAGCAACTCATATTCCGCTTGGGAACCCTGCAGCCCAATGTATCAATATAGACTTCACAAGCTTCAAAATCTCCCCTCCCCCTACTGCATCCCAAAACCAGCCCAGCTTGTCCCTGCCTCCCTAACCTGTCCTTCCTCCCACCTATCCCTCCTCCCACCTCAAGTCCCACCCCCATCTCCTACCTACTAACCTCATCCCGCCCCCTTGACCTGTCCATCCTCCCTGGACTGACCTATCTCCTCCCTAACTCCCACCTACACTCACCTTTACTGGCTCCATCCCCGCCTCTTTGACCGGTCTGTCTCCTCTCCATGTATCTTCTCCTCTATCCATCTTCTATCCGCCTCGCCCTCTCTCCCTATTTATTTCAGAGCCCCCTTCCCCTCCCCCTTTTCTGATGAAGGGTCTAGGCCCTAAACGTCAGCCTTCCTGCTCCTCTGATGCTGCTTGGCCTGCTGTGTTCATCCAGCTCTACACCTTGTTGCTAATTTTTTTGTTGTTTTCATGCTCATATCTTTCTCTCATAGAACAGTGTGTAAGTAATGGTGTACAATCTCTCTTTTCAAGGCCAACAAGTCCTGGCGTACGATTTTGAACTGAGCTTCTGTCTCAAAGGGAAGGATGATACCTACTGAACCACGAGACCATAAGACCATGTGACACAGGAGCAGAAATTAGGCCATTTGGCCCATTGTCTGCTCTGCCATTTAATCATGGCTGATAAGTTCCTCAACCCCATTCTCCTGCTTTCTCCCTGTAACCCTTGATCCTCTTGATAATCAAGAACCTATCTATCTCGGGCTTAAATGTACTCAATGACCCGGATTCCTCAGCCTTCTGTGGCAGTGAATTCCATAGATTTACCACTCCCTGGCTGAAGAAGTTTCTCCTTATCTCCATTCTAAAAGGTCTTCCCTTTACTCTAAGGCTGTGCCCTCGAGTCATAGACTCTCCTACAAATGGAAGCATCTTCCCAACATCCACTTTGTCCAGGCCATTCAGTATTTTGAAAGTTTCAATTAGATCCCCCCTCATCCTTCTAAATCCCAATGAATATAGTCCCAGAGTCCTCAAATGTTCCTCATATGTTAAGCTTTCCGTTCCTGAGACCATTCTCGTGAACCTCCTCTGAACCTACTCCAGGACCAGGACATCCTTCCTGAGATATGGGGCCCAAAACTGCACGCAACTCCAAACGTGGCCTGACCCCCCAGCGCCTTATAAAGCCTCAGTAGTACATCCCTGTTTTTATATTCAAGTCTTCTCAAAATAAATGCCAACATTGCATTTGCCTTCCGGACTACTGACTCAACCTGCAACCTTCAGAGAATCCTGGACTAGAACTCCCAAGTCTCCTTGTACTTCAGACTTCTGAATTTTCTCCCCATTTAGAAAATAGTCCATGCTTTTGTTCTTCTTACCAAAGTGCATGACCTCACACTTTCCCACGTTGTACTCCATCTTCTTTGCCCACTCTCCTAACCTGTCCAAATCCTTCTGCAGCCTCACTACCTCCTCAATAATACCTGTCCCTCCACCTATCTTTGTATCGTCTGCAAACTTAGCCAGAATGCCCACAGTTCCTTCATCTCGATCATTAATGTATAAAGTGAAAAGTTGTGGTCCCAGCACCGACCTTTGCGGAACACCACTCATCACCAGCTGCCATCCTGAGAAAGACCCCTTTATCCCCACTGTCTGCTTTCTGCCAGACAGTCAATCTTCTATCCACGCTAGCACCTTACCGCTAACACCGTGGGCCCTTATCTTACTCAGCAGCCTCCTGTGTGGCACCTTATTAAAGGCCTTCTTGAAGTCCAGATAGATAACATCCATTGGCTCTCCTTGGTCTACCCTGTTTGTTATTTCCTCAAAGAATTTTAGCAGATTTGTCAGACATGACCTCCCCTTGATGAAACCATGCTGACTTTGCCCTATTTTACTATACACTTCCAAGTATTCAGAAATCTCATCCTTTACAAGGGACTCCAAAATCTCGCCCACGACTGAGGTTAGGCTAATTGACCTGTGATTGGCCTCATCCCCCCTATACCATGCTTCTTTTTCCTAGGGATGAATTTTTGCTGCGTCTCCTGAATTCCTCCCAGAAACTCCTGCCATTGCTGTTCCTGTACCTTCTTGGCAAAGTCAGCAAGTGAATAGTTTAGATATACATCTGACACTCCTTTGTCCACTATTTACATTCAGCTGTTTTGATCACATCTCCTCAAGTAATGTGCCTCTCCCTATCGAAAACATACCATCCC